CCATTTTAAAATGAAACAGGGGGGCCTCCCCGGTGGCGCAGCGGTTGAGCGCTGGGTTGCGAAGCTGCCCGCAGCCTCTGCAGCGCCGGTTCAATCCCCGGCTGCTCCCCGGCCACCAGAGGAGGGTCCCACATGGCGCGCAGACCTCTCCTGCCGCCCGCTGCTCCCCTCAGCAGTGTACTTCGGTCCTTCTGCCTGCTCTGCTCCCCACTCTGGCTCTGGTGAATTCTCTCACCCTCCTGTGCTTCTGACTGTACCCAGTGCTTGTATAAATAAATAAATAAATCTTTAAAAAAAATAATAATAATAAATAAAATAAAATAAAATAAAATGAAACAGGGGAGTCATTACAGAGAAACTACATTACTTATCTTTTTTGAAATGGAACAAAGACCCTTGGGTTCAGCCAAAAGCAAATGTTTTAAGAACAATCAGGTATGGACTTTTGGCCAATGAATAGAATCAGTCAGTTCCCCTTTCATCCTTCCTAAAGAATCAGTAACCAATTATTTATAGCTGTTAAGGGGACCCCTTAACATAGCCAAGAACAGTTTAAGCATAGTCACACTAACCAACTCTTTTCTTCAACCTCATCTTCACTTCTTCATACTTTATCTTTTTCTCTTCCTCCCATAAAAAGGTTTGATAACTTTGTCCCTCTAAGTTTCCTACCTGAGTCTGTGTATCAAGGATTGCAATTTTTTGATCCCATACAAACGTACTTTGCCTTTTTAACTGCTTCCTGAATTTTGAGGTTGACAAACTAAACAATAAAATACATGAAAGAAAAGAGATATGAAACAGGAAGTCCCTAACTCTGAGTCTGAGCTTCCAACTAGCCAATCAATTTTCTTCTTCAGTTACTAGGACTTAGATATTTGGATATATTACAGATTAAAAAAAAAATTAAGAAAAGATAACAAAGGAAGTTGTGGGCTAGTCTGGAAACCAAATCAACATTTAGAGTACCATCTCTATATGAATTTGAAACCCCAAACACTAACTTGAATTCAAATTTTTGGAATTCATCCTATTTTAGAGTTTGTCTATAAATATATATTGCCTGACAACAAGCCCAACTATTCTCTTTGTTAACTATGAATGTTTACAGACAATTAAATGACTATACATTCAATAAATACATTTCAAAATTTCAGGTCTAGCTGCTTTATGAATAACTGCAAAAGGTACTAGTTAATAAGCACTATATATACTAAATGAAATTTTCTTGAATATTAACACTATTTCAAATCCAAATCTCTCTGATGCACATGTCTTTCTGGGAATCACTTTTCAGTAATTCAAATATGAAGTTCTGAGGATTCCAGCTGACTAAACAGATTCTATTTCAGACATTCTTTGACTCACCTTGTTCAGGCATTAAAGAAGTCAGTTTTCACACAGACTCTGAGATAGATGAGATTTTGGGGACTGAAGGGTGACAGAATAGGTGATGCAAAATAAGGCTCTTTGGCATATGGCATATGGCCTCATCAAAATATTAAGAACAGAATCACTTTGGTATGTGAATGATTTCGAGCTGAGGTCAACAGAGGCCCTGCAGGCTCATGAGAAAATTTTACCACTCTCTAATAACCTAGAAGAATGAAACTTTGGGGGTATTGCCCAGAATTTTGAAGTTTTACCAGAAATAATTTTTCTAACAGAGAAAGTTATCTATATGGCAAACACCTAATTACTAAGCATCTGGTCTTTTTTCTGTGAGTTACCTTCTCCCCCTGTAGGTCCTCTCTAAGTGAAGGCCCATTCTTTGGTTTCAGGATATATAGCCTCATTTTGCCCCACAGGTTTTATGATTCCAATCTTTATAGATTTCCCATAAATATGTAATTAAATTTGGTTTTCTTCTCCCACTAATCTAATGTTACTTTGCTCAAGCAGTCCTAGCCAAAGAAGAATGGGGTAATTTTCTCTTCTGTCCCAGAACAGACACAAGGGAAGCTCTGAAAACAATAGAAGCTGCCCTTTTGTAAGTGAAACTGACAGTTACAAAGGCACTGTAAGGGTATTTCCATCTCTGTATCTGGAAGAAAAGGATGATTCTAAATCACAAGAGAATCTTAAAAAAATCTTACTTTTCCTGGTAACCTCCCACAACTGGCTTCCCTTCCCACCCTTTTTCTTTAGTCAAATCTCCACCAGAGTGAGTCTGAAGTACCTCAGAGAGCAAGAGTCCTAAATCAAGTTGCAAAAACAACTACTCAACGCATTCATTTCAATGTTAAATTCTGTATCTCTTAACATTTTTGTAATCTGAGGAGAAATCAGACTGTTAAGTAAATTTTACACTGGTTAATCTTCAATTAATCAATAAATCTTTGCTCAGAAATCATTGACTATTAGTAAGGTTGTAGGCTCCATATGTTTCACTGCCATATACCTAAGTTCTTACTGCAATACCTTATATTCAATACGTGCTCAGAAGACATTTCTTAGATGCTCAGAAGACAAATGTAAAATGAAGCCAATCTTTCAATTTCAAATCCAATTCTAATTTCCTTTCTAATTCATTCTATTCCAAACCAATTTTACATTTGAAACATGTGAAATTTCTCATCAGCTTTGAAGTTTGTTTTTCTATTCATAAAATGTCAGAACACTTTTCCTTTTTTCTTTATTCTACTTTTTAAAGTCAGGTATCAACTATTTGGGTTTTTTTCCACATTTATTTCAAAATGTACTGATACTACACTGAAAAATCTGTCAGTGGTAAAACTGTTTTTCTACTTCAGTTACAGGGGCAGGGGGAATAAAAACATCATTGGGGAGATGTAGAGATAAACTATTAACAAAGGTGAACAAAATTCACAATGGCTAAAACATGTATGAGGCAAGCATATTAGGACAAGTTCACTAAAGCAAAGTAATTCATAGCAGGGAAAAGTAAAGAGGGTTGGTGAAAAGCCATATAGATTTTTTTTTTAAAATACTCATGAAAAAGCAAGTGGGGAGCAGTAATAAAACAAAATTATGTAATTATCACATCAAGACCCTTAATAAGATAAACAAAATTGGTTGGGTCTCAAGGATGCTGACATTCAAAATGACACTGACATTCAAAAGGATGGATTTGCTCACATCAAATGTGTCTGATGGAAGCATGAGGGTCACCTCTCACAAACTATGTGTGAAGAAATGATGACTCTTGAGAATCTGTACTTCATTAATCCAGAGAAAGGGGGTATTTCAAATAGGAAAGTAGAGAGGGTCAGGATCATGGGAAAAGAAAGCCCTTCTGAAGGTGATGGTGGGGGTGTCAATGTGCTAGGCCCTCTGTGTCCCTGTCCTCCTACCTCAGTGGGTCAAGTCAGAGAGGCCAGGGAAGGGGCAGGTAGAAGGTAATTGGGAAGAAGGGCCAGGCATGGATGGGTGTTCATAATGTAAAAGATGTGGCAGCACCCAGATGACCCCACCGTCCCTACTCTAAGTCAAATTTGCTTATTATTATGTCAACAGCCACTGAGGAACTGGCCCCCAAAGACAACCAGAAATGTTGATACAGTTATTCTTCTAGGTTCAGTTTTTCACATTAGTATTTATAGAATAGCCTGTGTTCACTTTTGGTGTGGTATACCGTTGAACACAGGTGCTCCAAGTCACATATCCCCAATACCTGGTGGCTCACAGAATGTAAAATTCCACCTGATGAAATGCCCTAACAAGACTGTTTGGTCATTATTTAAGATAATTTCTATCTTCTACCCGGATTATCTTGAAGAGGCTCTGCAGAATGTTTGAGAAGTTTCCCTTTGGTCCCATTATATACAGGGGGTAGGGAGTAAGGGGTGGAATAGGTGGGAGGATGGTCACAGTGTGCAGAGGAAGCAAAATAGGAGGGGAATGGAGGATAAATTTTTTTTAAAAAAATGAGTGAAGCAATAAGGACGTCCGTTTTTCGAAGAACTGAAAATGAGAAAAGAATATTCACTCAAACAGGCAATAAGGACAGTTTCAGTGGGCAATGATAGCAGTTGGTTGGCCCCAGGAAGAACTGTCCTTTCTTTAGTACTGGCATCCCATACCAAGTATGAAAATATACATAGTATAAGGCAGTCCCTGAGCTTGGTCTCTTGTTGCAGGTGGGAACATACATTCTTTTGACCGAGCTTTCCTTATGTTCCACCATTTTATATTGATTTCATGGAACTGAAATCTCAGCCTCTTTTATCTTCGCTATATCTTCATTCTCAAAAGTGACAAAGCCAAACCCTCTGTACCTGTCTTTCATCATATCAAACATCAGCACTGTATTCTCCACCTTGCCAAACTGTTCAAAATATTGCTTCACAACTTTCACTACTGTTTGACAGATCATCTGCCTACCAAAAATTTCTTTGTTCTTGTGGCCAAACTGAGTTGTGTTTTGACAAGGACATGCTATCTGGGGGGCAAACATCTTGAAATCTAACATGGTGGAGCTGACCCCTAATACTTAATCTATACTTTTGGGTCTTCAGAAGTTTAGAAACCAAGGCCCCTGAAAAATTTTTTAGCAGGATCTCTCATGGCCATACGTTCTCTAAATTCTCCAAATTTATTATAATAGTCTCTAAGGCAATCTGGAGAAGTCTGTCGACTCAGTCAACCAAAAAACATTTTACTCGTCAGCACTGGCTGAGCTGCCTTTACTCCCGTTTGCCTCTGTATCTGAGCATGAACAGCCAAAAAACCTGAGTCCCACAGCAATGGGAGCAGAGCAGCAGCCAGCTCTGATTCTTGAGATCTCTAGCTCCTTCCTAACACTCCTCTCCTTCCTCTTCTGAATCACTCTGCAAGCTGCTGAGCTATGGCAGTGGCTTCTCAAAGGGTTCTGAATATCTGGAAATTTGGGTCACAAAAGAATGGCACAGCCAAAATAACAGACCAAACAACCAGTTAGTTTAGGGCATGCAGGCCATTTCTCACTTTTTAAATTTTATTTAAAATATGAAATTCATAAAATCTAAGGTAAATATATTATTGTTAAACACTGCACTTACCATTATAGGTTATTCTTGGCTTTGTTAAACACATCACAAGATGCAAGTCCATTTCATCCGAGGGTACAAATTTTGAGCACACAGGGCACTTAAAACCTAGAAAGTAAAAGAGACTCAAGTTACTTAATTATTCTGAATATCCAACTATTTTTCTTTAAAAAGTATGTAAGACCAAGAGCATTCAAATTTCAGTATTACACTTACAGTAATATACTACTTATGTTGAAACTCAAGTTCAAAAAGAATTTGTGACTATATGTGACTTAAATTATTTTATGAAACCGTCCTGTCTTCAAATAAACAAGTTCAAATGAGGGGAGTTTGGTTCAATACAAAATCCCCATATCTTTTCCTAATATATGGGTCCAATCATTCTCTCCCTTCTGTCTGGTTTCTTATATTAACCTGACTCATGATTTTGTTATAATATCTTTCTATGTTTCCTAACTTTCCCAACTTGGTACGGTACAATTTGAGTCACAGAGTTATTTTACAGCTAAATAGTACCTTAGAAAACATCACACCATTTATAAATTTATCTGATGATAAAAGTAAAGTCCTTCAAAATAGCAAAATCAGATCTAGAATTTAATTCTTGACGTCTACTACAGTGATTTTTCTGCCACACCATGCTACTAAACCCACAATACAAATAGAAAATTGCATCAAACAAACATGGCAGATTTCTCAGTCAACTATGACATGTTAATATTAGCTAGTTTCCTACAATATTCAATTTGTATTTAGCATTAGTCAAAGTCCTCTTTAAAAATACACTGATGTACTGAAGGATAGAATGTTATGTATTTAGCACCATCCTGCCTCTCACTTAGGAAGGGGGACTGTCCCACTGGGGGCTCTTTGTTCCTTGCTATTTCTCTAATGCCCCAATGCTCCCTCCCCAACATTCAAAAGCTGCTTGAGCAGAGATGAAAACCTGATCCAAGAGAGTAATTTGTATTTTGGATAGGGACAATGAACCAAAAGAACTTTGAAGAAGACAGTAGCAAATGAGAGACAAGAAAATGGAAGAATAACAGAACTGAGGAAACAGTCATCCCAAGAGTCTGTAAACAAGTTTGTACTATGTAATTCTCAAATAACTCTGCAATCTATAGCTCCACTGACTTTCCAAGACTTTTCACAATGGTGAAACATAAGTTTAAAATCTAGGACTGAAAAACAGATTCCAAGGCCACCAACCCATGACACACAGTTAAATAACTACTACACCAGGAGAATGGTGCTTACTCTGGAGAAAAGAACCAGAACAGATTCAGACTTAACGGTATCAGACACAGTAATGTAAAGGCAAGAAAACAGGAAACAAATAAAGATCTACATATTTAAATAGATCCTTCCCTCAACCTTCTTTTCTTCTGTCAACACCCATATATTTGTAGTCTTCTCTCAAACCAAAAGTTCTCACAGAAAGCTATAGTCTTACACATATAGCTTCCAGACAACCTTTCAGGGCCTCTTTGATGAACAAGATGCAGTAAAAGAATTCTGCATGGTTAAAATACACTAGAAATAAATTCAGAAGAATGAACTTATTTACAACAAACAAAAGGCCAATATTGTTAATAAAGAATTCTTAGCAGAGGAAAACCAAATACTTGTTAGAAAAAAAGTCTGAAGTTTTAAACAGTTCACCAAAAGGAAAAAAAAAAGGTAATGTAAATAACTCTTACACAAATGAAAAACTGCTATGTCAGAAGAACTTTTCTTGCAAATTCTGTATATATCTTTACAATAATTTTAATGGGTTTTAGGAGGGAGGAGAAAAACATTTTACTAGAGGTCCACATTGTTCTTTGTGTGCAGTGTTTTTTCTCCTTAGGCTCTACATTATCTCTATATTAGAACATTACTCAGGGTCTCCCTGGTGGCATAGGGGTTAAGTCTCAGCGCTATTACAGCTGCAGCCCAAGTTCAATGCCCAACCAGGTCCCCAGTGAAACAAAAATCACATACACAAATAGAGGACTCCTGGAGGATGACAGAGTAGGAAGCTTTAGGAATCTGTCTCACTTAAACAATAACTGCAATGGAGGAATCTATCTGATGTAACTGTTTTAGAACCCTGGAGTCTATTAAAGGCTGTCAACTTCCAAGGGAAAAGCTGGATGGTATACTGCATTAGTTTCACACAATTTCAGCTCTTAGTGCAGGTGCAACTACCCTTCCCTTAACTCCAGTCACAGAGGAGGTGGTTTGTGTATGAGTTCTTGAGTAGCCTGCAGGACCCAGGGTAGACACAAAGGACTCACTCCTGGAAGGATCCATACTGATTGCTACTTCTGACAAAGGAGATTCAAAGACAAGGGTAGTCATTGTTTGTACCTCACCCCATTGTGGTAAGCCCTTCCCAGTAAGGTTGAAGTGACTTCAAGGGGACTTAACAGGTCTGCACTCTTCATCCATTTCATTTTTCTCTTTTTCCCCTTCTGGGAGTCAGACACCAAAGACCAGGACATTAAAAACCAACTACACATGTAGGGAAAATTAGAAAGTGACTATGCATGCCCAGAGAAAAACTCAGGAAACATCTGAGAAGAACTTAAGTTTATATTTTAAGCTGATAGAAGATGAGTGCAACTTACCAAAAAAAAAAAAAAGAAAGAAAAATATCCCAGCAAATCCCCTGGGGGAAAGAGAATTTGATCTCCAGAGTTACCACATTATTAGATTCAAAAGACAGGCTTTTAAGGCTTTGTTTAGTACATCTTCCATCAGGGTCTTTTTCCTAAGGATAGTTTCTGTTGATTACTTTTTATCTTTAGTGGTTAAAGACAGGCCAATGGAAATAATCTAAGAAATAGAAAGAAATATACATAATCCCTAAGTATATTTCTGCCAAAGATTGTAGAAACGTGAAAAGCACCTAAATGACATGTGACACCAACAAATAAGTCACAATACACATTGTGGAGGCAGAGAGAGAATGGGCAGAGAGATCACTTGAAGAAATAATGACTTAATAAGAATGGCACATATCAAAAAAACAAGCAACAACAAATGCTGGTGAGGCTGTAGTGAAAAAGGAATTCTCCTATACTGCTGGTGGGAGTGCAAATTGGTCCAACCACTATGGAAAGCTGTCTGGAGGTTCCTCAGTCTACTAAAAATGGAGCTACCATATGACCTGGCAATTCCACTCCTAGGGATCTACCCAAAGGACACAAAAACATTGATTCAAAAGAACAATCTGTACCCATATGTTTACTGCAGCACTATTTACAATAGGTAAAACCTGGAAACCACCCAAATGCCCAAAAATAGATGACTGGATCAAGAAGATGTGGCATATATACACAATGGAATATTATTCCGCAATCAATAAACATGCCATTCGCAGCAATATGGATGGAGCTAGAAGGAATTATATTCAGTGAAATAAGCCAGAAGGAAAAAGAAAAATATCAGATGGTTTCACTTATAGCAGGAATACAGGAGAACCCAATAAGGTATCTGTGTAAAAAAATAATAACAGTACAAAACAAAACAAAGCAAAAACAGGTAATTATAAATCAGAGACATATGCAGGGGAGGAGGAGGGAGAGGTACCAGAGGGAGGGAGGGAGGGAAGAGCTCAAGGGACTGAGGTGATGGTGCACGGGTGCACTGGTGAAAGAAACTCTATGGGGACTACACCTGAGGGGGTGGGGGGTAAGCAAATATTGTTTAAAAATGAACAATGATGTAAAAAATTTAAAAAATTAATATAAAAAATAATGTCTTAAAATTTCTCAAATTTGATAAAGACTAGAATATAAACATCAAAAAAACTAATTCCACGAAAGATAAACTCAAAGAGACCCACATCAATACACATTATAATCAAACTTTCAGAAGACAAAGACAATCTTGAAAGAATCAAGAGTGAAGCAAATCATCACATATAAGGCATCCTCAATAAGGATAAAAGCAGATTTCTCATGAGGCACTATCCTTATACACACAAGTGCTTAACAGAAAAAACTCAACTGAGAGTCCCATATCTACCAATAATTCTGTCAAAAATGAAGGCGAAATCAGGAAACTTCCAGGCAAACAAATACAGAGTGAGTTTGTACCACTAAGTCTGAAAAATAATGCATACGTTATACTAACTGTGGTGCAAGAAATTTACATCTTCAAATATACAGACTTAAGATCCAACCAAGAGATGAATCAAAATAGAGAAGTCAGGAATAGAGGTATGGTTTAAAATACACATATATACACACATATAAAATAAGTATATACTTATATATTACACATATATCTATTAGCCACAGCTTGTCTATTATTTTGATTCACCTCTGAAAATATATACAGACATTGGTAATATTAATGGAAGAAATAAGAATAAATAAGAGTAAACAGCTGTAGAAATTATCACAATAATATATATTATATATAATTATATTATATATATAATTCAAATATCAACAATGTGAAAATGATACAACTAACAAAAATTGAGGTGGGAATGACATGATCCTGTTAATAAATGAAAAGGACAAGGAAACTGATGGGAGAGAAAGAACAACAGAGACAAGCTAGATCACCGTTCCTTAAAAAGCAAAGAACATGTAGAGAGATACCGAAACATTCCCTCTTTTCTATATTAAGACCCTTAGATTTGTCACCCCTTTTCCAGGAACCCTTCTCTAAATACTCCATCTCAAAGCAGATTTAACTATTTACTCCGTTAATATTTTTGCTGTACTTTGATGATACTTCCAGTATTTCAGTGTAGCACATGACACATGTGTCTACTTAATTATGTCTATCATTCTTACGAGCTTTAGTGGTCGAAAACATAGACTTTGAAGTAAAAAAGATCTGGATACAAACCCCCAGTTCTACTACATACAAACCATGTGACCCTATGGAAGACATTTAAGACCTCCAGGAGTGATTTCTTTCCTATAAAACATTGATAACATCATTTACATACTGGCAATCTGGGAGGATGAAAGATTGTAATAAGGTAGCAACAGTGCCTGACACATAGTAGGTAGTTAGTAAATAGTGCCTGTTACTTCATTGTTCCTTTTTCAACTTGCAGACAATTCACTTGTTTAAGTTCTTAAATTAGTACAGTT